TCCCTCCCTCCCTCCCTCCCTGCCTCCCTGCCTCTCTCGTTCTTGAAACACGTTCTCGTCAATTGTACTTATTTTTTAGCTGCACGAGGCTGGCCTCCGGTTTCACCAGTTCGGACTCTGGCCCACCTCACCTCAACGTGATCCTCGTCCGAAGACCTCCTCTGGCGACGTGCGGATAGCGGGGGTGACACACTGCCATCCCTTGCGCTTGCCGGCACTCCTTCCCGCCCGTCACCCGATCCCTAGGCGGCAAGGCATCAAAACGAACAACGGACGGTGGGAACCCGAAAATCAAGCAAGGGATGGCAACCCCGGAGTTAGCTCAAGGTTTGCAGGACCCCGCCTTCCGTTCCACAATGTTTCCAGTGTGGTTCGGGTCTGGGCGACGAGTTCAACGCACCAGCACGCCGTTCTGATTATTTCCACGGGTGCCCCTGTTGGCGGGTGCCTGCGGTCAGCTCGGCTCGCGCTTGCCTTGCCCTTGCGCCGGTGCAGATAATACAATCCAGGGAACACACGCGCTATGGATGCTGAGCACAGAAGACATTGGTAGGTGCGTGCGGCTTCGGGGATATCAGAGCAAATGGACAAACTGCTGAACAGCAGGGGAGGGGCGATCGAGGATCAGGGCAAGAGACCAAAGAGAGACAGCGATGAAACTTCAGAAGAGGCGAGAAAGAACTGTGAGAGCGGAGCTGACCAGAATCCAAAGATGATTCTCCTGTCTATCCGTCGGCCTCTATTCCCGCGTCTTGCACCCTATTCGCCTTCACATCCCTTCCCGAATCGAGACACCCTGCTGTGAGAATAATCTAGGGAATGGCTAGGCCTAACCCCGACTGCTACCCTAGCAAATTCCGACATGTGTAAGCACGAATCGTCGGGGGATGGCAAGGGATACCACACAAGGTGTTACGATAACGCCTCCTTCTCACCCGCGGGGGACCCCCGGCGTCTACGCGCCGCCCGCGCGTCGTCGGAGTTGTTACTCCTGGAGAAGGCGTGTGCAGGAGGTCCTGGTCGGTGGTCCCGCCCCCGATGACGGCGGTTTCATTAAGGGTTTGGTCCACTCGCTGTCTCGCTACCGCCCTCTCTCTTTCCAGGCACTCATCTCGCTCGAGGTTGGCGCGGATTGCGAAGGCCTTGAGTTGTTCCACCTGGGGGGAGTGAGGAATGTGGGTTGGTTGGAGCGGCAACAGAGACAGAGGTATAAGAGGGAGGGAGGGAGAAAGGGGGAGAGCGAGGAAGAGAGGGAGAGAGGGAGAGAGGGAGAGGGAGAGAATGGTGGAGTNGTAGTCGTGAGACCATTGACCTCGCGTCCCTACAAAGCCGGGACGGAGAACGCCGGGTTCTCACCGGACCAGTCTCTCACATCACCAAGCGCGAAGCGCCGTAAGATATTCGGCGAGTCGCATGAAGGGTGCGCTGCATCCTGCTAAGGGTGTTCGGCATCTTGTGCTTACTTCCTTGCGTATGGATGACAGCTGCGTATGACTTAATTTATTTTCTGGTGCTTTCACTTCCAGAGACAGTTGTAAGCACTGTGTAACTGCCTCGAGGGTGCTTGACCATTTTGACAAAAAGTGGTGCGATCTTCCCCCTTGCGCGGAGTGAGGGTTCTCCACCCCGCACAACATGATCTACTCGACCACCATTATTGTTACCGCCAAAAAAAAAA